ATCAGTTTCTTATCTTCCTTATACTTTTTTATGCTCATTTACTCTTACTGCATGTCTTCTATTGCCTATGGATCTTGATTTTGAAAAACCAATGTCTAGCTTTCTTTAGTAACATGTTTTGAGAGAATTACTCACATGTCGGAAGAGACGGTCCATCCGTTCGTTGTACAGAACGCGATCAGCCCATGCTGGACATAATGTTCGCATGAACTCCTCCTTACCAGTGTGTGGGTTTATAGCGTAGTGGCGTGAAGGCTGAAAATTTTCGAGAATGGGTGACAAATTATTCATTGAGAAAAATTTATTAAGTGCGAATTTTAGTTGTTCATATGCGTCATGAGCCGAATAAACATATTGTTGCAGATTTTGATACGATCAGGTTTTAAAGCAATTCCTTCACAGTATGTAAGATATCCAGGTCAAATGAAGTTTTTGTTTTCTAGTGCAATCAGAGATTTAGAATTACGTGATTTCAGGATTGCCTCGAGTTGGACTTAGTACTAGGTTCGCGATTGCGAAGTTAATCATGGTTGCGTTTGTCTGTACACCGAATTTGATCAAAATCTGACATGTGGCCAGAATCGGTTTCTAGACGCTCGCAACGCGCAGCGGCTGGTGTTCATCGTCTCAGCAACTCTGAACGATCCCAGTCGATGGATTATAGACGGATAATCTAAGCAGATCTGCTCGAAATGAAAATAGAGGGTGTTTGCCAAGATGAACGATGGCTGCTAATAAGTGGTATGCACGTTTGTTCATTCCCTATACATCTGTCGTTAGGTTAGCTGCAACAAGCGTGTTACTGGATTGGCTCAGTAGAATGACTGGTGGACACTTCTTCCTAGCTATCAGAGCTCAGAGAAAGCTGCGTTATGAGATTTCCCTAAAATTGTTACTGCATCTGTTTTGCGCGAAAAATAGTGTTATCTCCTGCATTTTTCTTTCTTTCTTCAACGTTCATAAAATGAAAGTGAAGAAGATTTTGAGCATTTTTTTAAGATACTAATATCCTAGAATTTGAAGGAGCTTTGAAGGAGGAGGAGAAAATCTTGTCACACGAATAGATCTGTTCATAATATTTCAAAATACTTACATCTATATAAAATACAAAGTTTAGCAATTTCTAAACAACTAGCTCAGAAACTAAACGAGTCGATCATGCCGTAAGCGCAAAGCACTGTCATTGCATAGCGTGCGCTAGGGGCTAGGAACCTGTACAGTGCGCGCGGTTGGTAGCTTTTATGGCGCAAACCATCGTTCATTTTAATGTCATGAAATTAAAAATAAACTGTTACAGAGATTTGCCCACAAAACGATTGCCAAAAATTTAGGATTTGTATCTTGCGTGATTTCTCTTTTTGATGATAAAGTGGATATTCTTCAAGTTTTGGCAAGTTTGCTTTAGGTCAGAAATGGAGTATGTTACTGTATAGGATAAGAAAAAGCTCGCTTATCTTTGCATGAGGTATGATGTGTAGCAGTCCCGAATGCTTTCATTAGACTGATTTGCCCAAACTTTTCTAAGGCCCTTTCTTGCCCTACGGCTTTTTCACAAAGTGAATTTTCTTGCACAGAGTAAAACGATGAGTTGTGAACTATTACAAAAGTTTGGAATAGAAATAATCTTTGCAAATAAAATTAAAATTACTTGGAAGAACACGCTCTCCTCTTTCAATTGGCCTTTGAATGTGACTGGACC